CGCATATTTGTGTACCTGTCAATGTGCTGGGAGCACACCACACAACGCACTCCCAGCACAAAGACTGGGATGTCACTGAGAGCCCCGGGCCCCGTTCTAACGATCGAGACCTGGAACTCCCCATTCCGGGTCACATGATCGCTGTGATAGCCTCTGATTGGCTATCACAATGAACAGTCACTGTGAAGCCCACCCCCCCTTATTTCTTTTCTGTCTGAATGGAGGAGAGGGATACATTGTATTTCGCTCTCTCCTTGCAGAGAGAGAAAAAAACCAACTGTTTGCAAAATAAATAAATACATAAATAAATAAAATAAGAAATAAAGAAAAATACCTAGATCAAGGTTTGATCTAGTTCCACGCGAAGGTTAGTGTTTGGGTCAAGGTCAGGGTCAAGGGTCAGGATTTTTTTTTTTAATTGATATCAGTGACAGTCAGTGTCAGTCTGTTTTAGGTAAAAAACCCAAAAAACAAAATGCACACTATTGTTTCTGAACTGTACTACGGGTACAAACAAAAATTAACATACATATATATATGGTATTGCTGTGATCGTCAAGGCTGGAAAATTTAGGTTGGGTTGTTCTCTGGTGGTAGGTTATGGTAGTAACAAGAAACACAGCTACATTAAAAAAATTATTTTTTGTTTTTGTTTTTTTTTTACTATTCTGGGCCAGTTTTCCTTTGATAATAAAAAAATCAGGAGATATCCATTACCATTTACCACCAAATGAAAACCCAATTTGTCCTGAAAACAAACAAGGTATAATCCACCTGGATGTATAAAGTAGTTGTGATGATATGTACGGGTTTTACTAACACATGAGTTATAAAATTTTACTTAGGCTTTAAGATTTGTTTCATCCTTAGGCGTGAAGGGGTTAAGGTAAAAAGAAATCTTAAGACTTTAGAACCATTTAAAACATCTGCAAGGATTTTCTTTGTGTCTGAATTCACACTTATGTATTGAAGTAGATTTAGCAGCCAGTCTCAATATTTAATTAGTAGCTGGTTATTTTAGGTGGCCACCATTATAATTTACTTATACAGAGAAATACATGAACACTAGATAGCTATATAGGTGGTGACTAGAGATGAGCGAAGTATTCAAAAATTCGATTCGGCTGATTCGGCGAATTCGAGGAATAAATTCGATTCGATGCGAATATATTTGCTGCGAATTTAACTTATAAAAAGGGTGTTTCTAGGCTTCAGAGAGCCTTTATATTAGTGCAGAACACTGTACCTTTAATTTAAATGCCCTTGGAGTCTGCTGGGGAAGAGAAATAATACTGTCAGTCAGTATGACATGCAGATGAGTGCCGTCGATCTTAGAATCACCGCACACTTCACTCATTTGGGCAGTCACGGGGCCAAAACCAGAGTGTGGAGCCACAGTGTGGCGGTGGAGGCAGCAGCAATGGGAGGCCATACAGCACCCTATGACAAAATGGAACCCACCAGCAGTGTGAGGAGACCTGAAAGTGGCACATGGCAGAGTGTGGCGATGGAGACAGCAGCAATGGGAGGCCGTACAGGGACCCATGAGACACTCTGGACCTGGCAGCAGCATGAGGAGGCGGTACAGGGGCCCATGACAGATTACGGGCCTGGCAGCAGCATGAGGAGTCGGTACGGGGGCCCATGGCAGATTACGGGCCTGGCAGCAGCAATGGGAGGCCCGTAATCTGCCAGCACCCTATGACAAAATGGAACCCACCAGCAGTGTGAGGAGACCTGAAAGTGGCACATGGCAGAGTGTGGCGATGGGAGACAGCAGCAATGGGAGGCCGTACAGGGACCCATGAGACACTCTGGACCTGGCAGCAGCATGAGGAGGCGGTACAGGGGCCCATGGCAGATTACGGGCCTAGGAGCAGCATGAGGAGTCGGTACGGGGGCCCATGGCAGATTACGGGCCTGGTAGCAGCAATGGGAGGCCCGTAATCTGCCAGCACCCTATGACAAAATGGAACCCACCAGCAGTGTGAGGAGACCTGAAAGTGGCACATGGCAGAGTGTGGCGATGGAGACAGCAGCAATGGGAGGCCGTACAGGGACCCATGAGACACACTGGACCTGGCAGCAGCATGAGGAGGTGGTACAGGGGCACATGACAGATTACGGGCCTGGCAGCAGCATGAGGAGTCGGTACGGGGGCCCATGGCAGATTACGGGCCTGGCAGCAGCAATGGAGAGGCCCGTAATCTGCCAGCACCCTATGAAAAAATGGAACCCACCAGCAGTGTGAGGAGACCTGAAAGTGGCACATGGCAGAGTGTGGCGATGGAGACAGCAGCAATGGGAGGCCGTACAGGGACCCATGAGACACTCTGGACCTGGCAGCAGCATGAGGAGGCGGTACAGGGGCCCATGGCAGATTACGGGCCTGGCAGCAGCAATGGGAGGCCCGTAATCTGCCAGCACCCTATGACAAAATGGAACCCACCAGCAGTGTGAGGAGACCTGAAAGTGGCACATGGCAGAGTGTGTGGCGATGGAGACAGCAGCAATGGGAGGCCGTACAGGGACCCATGAGACACTCTGGACCTGAGCAGCAGCATGAGGAGGCTGGGCGGGTACACGGGGGCCCATGCAGCAGATTACGGGCCTGGCAGCAGCAATGGGAGGCCCGTAATCTGCTGCCAGCACCCTATGACAAAATGGAACCCACCAGCAGTGTGAGGAGACCTGAAAGTGGCACATGGCACAGTGTGGCGATGGAGACAGCAGCAATGGGAGGCCGTACACAGGGACCCATGAGACACTCTGGACCTGGCAGCAGCATGAGGAGGTGGTACAGGGGCCCATGGCAGATTACAGGCAGCAGCATGAGGAGTCGGTACGGGGGCCCATGGCAGATTACGGGCCTGGCAGCAGCAATGGGAGGCCCGTAATCTGCCAGCACCCTATGACAAAATGGAACCCACCAGCAGTGTGAGGAGACCTGAAAGTGGCACATGGCAGAGTGTGGCGATGGAGACAGCAGCAATGGGAGGCCGTACAGGGACCCATGAGACACTCTGGACCTGGCAGCAGCATGAGGAGGCGGTACAGGGGCCCATGGCAGATTACGGGCCTGGCAGCAGCAATGGGAGGCCCGTAATCTGCCAGCACCCTATGACAAAATGGAACCCACCAGCAGTGTGAGGAGACCTGAAAGTGGCACATGGCAGAGTGTGGCGATGGAGACAGCAGCAATGGGAGGCCGTACAGGGACCCATGAGAGACCTGGCAGCAGCATGAGGAGGCGGTACAGGGGCCCATGACAGATTACGGGCCTGGCAGCAGCATGAGGAGTCGGTACGGGGGCCCATGGCAGATTACGGGCCTGGCAGCAGCAATGGGAGGCCCGTAATCTGCCAGCACCCTATGACAAAATGGAACCCACCAGCAGTGTGAGGAGACCTGAAAGTGGCACATGGGCAGAGTGTGGCGATGGAGACAGCAGCAATGGGAGGCCGTACAGGGACCCATGAGACACTCTGGACCTGGCAGCAGCATGAGGAGGGTACAGGTGGTACAGGGGCCCATGGCAGATTATGAGGCCTGGCAGCAGCATGAGGAGTCGGTACGGGGGCCCATGGCAGATTACGGGCCTGGCAGCAGCAATGGGAGGCCCGTAATCTGCCAGCACCCTATGACAAAATGGAACCCACCAGCAGTGTGAGGAGACCTGAAAGTGGCACATGGCAGAGTGTGGCGATGGAGACAGCAGCAATGGGAGGCCGTACAGGGACCCATGAGACACTCTGGACCTGGCAGCAGCATGAGGAGGCGGTAGGGGGCCCATGGCAGATTACGGGCCTGGCAGCAGCAATGGGAGGCCCGTAATCTGCCAGCCAGCACCCTATGACAAAAATGGAACCCACCAGCAGTGTGAGGAGACCTGAAAGTGGCACATGGCAGAGTGTGGCGATGGAGACAGCAGCAATGGGAGGCTACAGGGGGACACTCTGGACCTGGCAGCAGCATGAGGAGGCGGTACAGGGGCCCATGACAGATTACGGGCCTGGCAGCAGCATGAGGAGTCGGTACGGGGGCCCATGGCAGATTACGGGCCTGGCTGGCAGCAGCAATGGGAGGCCCGTAATCTGCCAGCACCCTATGACAAAATGGAACCCACCAGCAGTGTGAGGAGACCTGAAAGTGGCACATGGCAGAGTGTGGCGATGGAGACAGCAGCAATGGGAGGCCGTACAGGGACCCATGACACACTGGACCTGGACCTGGCAGCAGCATGAGGACGGGGCGGTACAGGGGCCCATGGCAGATTACGGGCCTGGCAGCAGCAATGGGAGGCCCGTAATCTGCCAGCACCCTATGACAAAATGGAACCCACCAGCAGTGTGAGGAGACCTGAAAGTGGCACATGGCAGAGTGGCGATGGAGACAGCAGCAATGGGAGGCCGTACAGGGACCCATGAGACACTCTGGACCTGGCAGGCAGCAGCATGAGGAGGCGGTACAGGGGCCCATGCCCATGGATTACGGGCCTGGCAGCAGCAATGGGAGGCCCGTAATCTGCCAGCACCCTATGACAAAATGGAACCCACCAGCAGTGTGAGGAGACCTGAAAGTGGCACATGGCAGAGTGTGGCGATGGAGACAGCAGCAATGGGAGGCCGTACAGGGACCCATGAGACACTCTGGACCTGGCAGCAGCATGAGGAGGCGGTACAGGGGCCCATGGCAGATTACGGGCCTGCAGCAGCATGAGGAGTCGGTACGGGGGCCCATGGCAGCATTACGGGCCTGGCAGCAATGGGAGGCCCGTAATCTGCCAGCACCCTATGACAAAATGGAACCCACCAGCAGTGTGAGGAGACCTGAAAGTGGCACATGGCAGAGTGTGGCGATGGAGACAGCAGCAATGGGAGGCCGTACAGGGACCCATGAGACACTCTGGACCTGAGCAGCATGAGGAGGCGGTACAGGGCCCATGGCAGATTACGGGCCTGGCAGCAGCAATGGGAGGCCCGTAATCTGCCAGCACCCTATGACAAAATGGAACCCACCAGCAGTGTGAGGAGACCTGAAAGTGGCACATGCAGCAGAGTGTGGCGATGGAGACAGCAGCAATGGGGGAGGCCGTACAGGGACCCATGAGACACTCTGGACCTGGCAGCAGCATGAGAGAGGCGGTACAGGGGCCCATGACAGATTACGGGAGGCAGCATGAGGCGGTACGGGGGCCCATGGCAGATTACGGGCCTGGCAGCAGCAATGGGAGGCCCGTAATCTGCCAGCACCCTATGACAAAATGGAACCCACCAGCAGTGTGAGGAGACCTGAAAGTGGCACATGGCAGAGTGTGGCGATGGAGACAGCAGCAATGGGAGGCCGTACAGGGACCCATGAGACACTCTGGACCTGGCAGCAGCAGCATGAGGAGGCGCCTGGCAGCAGCATGAGGAGTCGGTACAGTACGGGGGCCCCCATGGCAGATTACGGGCCTGGCAGCAGCAATGGGAGGCCCGTAATCTGCCAGCACCCTATGACAAAAAATGGAACCCACCAGCAGTGTGAGGAGACCTGAAAGTGGCACATGGCAGAGTGTGGCGATGGAGACAGCAGCAATGGGAGGCCGTACAGGGACCCATGAGACACTCTGGACCTGGCAGCAGCATGAGGAGCGGTAGGGGCCCATGGCAGATTACGGGCCTGGCAGCAGCAATGGGAGGCCCGTAATCTGCCAGCACCCTATGACAAAATGGAACCCCACCAGCAGTGTGAGGAGACCTGAAAGTGGCACATGGCAGAGTGTGGCGATGGAGACAGCAGCAATGGGAGGCCGTACAGGGACCCATGAGACACTCTGGACCTGGCAGCAGCATGAGGAGGCGGTACATGGGGCCCATGGCAGATTACGGGCCTGGCAGCAGCAATGAGGGGTCGGTACGGGGGCCCATGGCAGATTACGGGCCTGGCAGCAGCAATGGGAGCCCGTAATCTGCCCAGCACCCTATGACAAAATGGAACCCACCAGCAGTGTGAGGAGACCTGAAAGTGGCACATGGCAGAGTGTGGCGATGGAGACAGCAGCAATGGGAGGCCGTACAGGGACCCATGAGACACTCTGGACCTGGCAGCAGCATGAGGAGGCGGTACAGGGGCCCATGGCAGATTACGGGCCTGGCAGCAGCAATGGGAGGCCCGTAATCTGCCAGCACCCTATGACAAAACAAAAAAACACCACCAGCAGTGTGAGGAGACCTGAAAGTGGCACATGGCAGAGTGTGGCGATGGAGACAGCAGCAATGGGAGGCCGTACAGGGACCCATGAGACACTCTGGACCTGGCAGCAGCATGAGGAGGCGGTACAGGGGCCCATGGCAGATTACGGGGGCCTGGCAGCAGCAATGGGAGGCCCGTAATCTGCCAGCACCCTATGACAAAATGGAACCCACCAGCAGTGTGAGGAGACCTGAAAGTGGCACATGGCAGAGTGTGGCGATGGAGACAGCAGCAATGGGAGGCCGTACAGGGACCCATGAGACACTCTGGACCTGGCAGCAGCATGAGGAGGCGGTACAGGGGCCCATGGCAGCAGATTACGGGCCTGGCAGCAGCAATGGGAGGCCCGTAATCTGCCAGCACCCTATGACAAAAAATGGAACCCACCAGCAGTGTGAGGAGACCTGAAAGTGGCACATGGCAGTGTGGCGATGGAGACAGCAGCAATGGGAGGCCGTACAGCAGCAATGGACCTGGCCGTACATGAGGAGGGGACCCAGGGGCCCATGGCAGATTACGGGCCTGGCAGCAGCATGAGGAGGAGGCGGTACAGGGGCCCATGGCAGATTACACGGGCCTGGCAGCAGCAATGGAGGCCCGTAATCTGCCAGCACCCTATGACAAAAAATGGAACACCCACCAGCAGTGTGAGGAGACCTGAATGGCACATGGCAGAGTGTGGCGATGGAGACAGCAGCAATGGGAGGCCGTACAGGGACCCATGAGAGACTCTGGACCTGGCAGCAGCATGAGGAGGCGGTACAGGGGCCCATGGCAGATTACGGGCCTGGCAGCAGCAATGGGAGGCCCGTAATCTGCCAGCACCCTATGACAAAATGGAACCCACCAGCAGTGTGAGGAGACCTGAAAGTGGCACATGGCAGAGTGTGGCGATGGAGACAGCAGCAATGGGAGGCCGTACAGGGACCCATGAGACACTCTGGACCTGGCAGCAGCATGAGGAGGCGGTACAGGGGCCCATGACAGATACGGGCCTGGCAGCAGCATGAGGAGTCGGTACGGGGGCCCATGGCAGATTACGGGCCTGGCAGCAGCAATGGGAGGCCCGTAATCTGCCAGCACCCTATGACAAAAAAATGGAACCCACCAGCAGTGTGAGGAGACCTGAAAGTGGCACATGGCAGAGTGTGGCGATGGAGACAGCAGCAATGGGAGGCCGTACAGGGACCCATGAGACACTCTGGACCTGGCAGCAGCATGAGGAGGCGGTACAGGGGCCCATGGCAGATTACGGGCCTGGCAGCAGCAATGGGAGGCCCGTAATCTGCCAGCACCCTGACAAAATGGAACCCACCAGCAGTGTGAGGAGACCTGAAAGTGGCACATGGCAGAGTGTGGCGATGGAGACAGCAGCAATGGGAGGCCGTACAGGGACCCATGAGACACTCTGGACCTGGCAGCAGCATGAGGAGGCGGTACAGGGGCCCATGGCAGATTGAGGAGCAGCGGTACGGGGGCCCATGGCAGATTACGGGCCTGGCAGCAGCAATGGGAGGCCCGTAATCTGCCAGCACCCTATGACAAAATGGAACCCACCAGCAGTGTGAGGAGACCTGAAAGTGGCACATGGCAGAGTGTGGCGATGGAGACAGCAGCAATGAGGCCGTACAGGGACCCATGAGACACTCTGGACCTGGCAGCAGCATGAGGAGGCGGTACAGGGGCCCATGGCAGATTACGGGCCTGGCAGCAGCAATGGGAGGCCCGTAATCTGCCAGCACCCTATGACAAAATGGAACCCACCAGCAGTGTGTGAGGAGACCTGAAAGTGGCACATGGCAGAGTGTGGCGATGGAGACAGCAGCAATGGGAGGCCGTACAGGGACCCATGAGACACTCTGGACCTGGCAGCAGCATGAGGAGGCGGTACAGGGGCCCATGGCAGATTACGGGCCTGGCAGCAGCATGAGGAGTCGGTACGGGGGCCCATGGCAGATTACGGGCCTGGCAGCAGCAATGGGAGGCCCGTAATCTGCCAGCACCCTATGAAAAATGGAACCCACCAGCAGTGTGAGGAGACCTGAAAGTGGCACATGGCAGAGTGTGGCGATGGAGACAGCAGCAATGGGAGGCCGTACAGGGACCCATGAGAGACTCTGGACCTGGCAGCAGCATGAGGAGGCGGTACAGGGGCCCATGGCAGAGATTACGGGCCTGGCAGCAGCAATGGGAGGCCCGTAATCTGCCAGCACCCTATGACAAAATGGAACCCACCAGCAGTGTGAGGAGACCTGAAAGTGGCACATGGCAGAGTGTGGCGATGGAGACAGCAGCAATGGGAGGCCGTACAGGGACCCATGAGACACTCTGGACCTGGCAGCAGCATGAGGAGGCGGTACAGGGGGCCCACAGGCAGATTACGGGGGCCTGGCTGGCAGCAATGGGAGGCCCGTAATCTGCCAGCACCCTATGACAAAATGGAACCCACCAGCAGTGTGAGGAGACCTGAAAGTGGCACATGGCAGAGTGTGGCGATGGAGACAGCAGCAATGGGAGGCCGTACAGGGACCCATGAGACACTCTGGACCTGGCCTGGCAGCAGCATGAGGAGCGGTACAGGGGCCCATGGCAGATTACGGGCCTGGCAGCAGCATGAGGAGGCGGTACGGGGGCCCATGGCAGATTACGGGCCTGGCAGCAGCAATGGGAGGCCCGTAATCTGCCAGCACCAGCACCCTATGACACAACAAATGGAACCCACCAGCAGTGTGAGGAGACCTGAAAGTGGCACATGGCAGAGTGTGGCGATGGAGACAGCAGCAGATGGAGACAGGGCCCAGCAGAATGGGAGCAGCAGCATGAGGAGGTACAGGGACCCATGAGACACTCTGGACCTGGCAGCAGCATGAGGAGGCGGTACGGGGGCCCATGGCAGATTACGGGCCTGGCAGCAGCAATGGGAGGCCCGTAATCTGCCAGCACCCTATGACAAAATGGAACCCACCAGCAGTGTGAGGAGACCTGAAAGTGGCACATGGCAGAGTGTGGCGATGGAGACAGCAGCAATGGGAGGCCGTACAGGGACCCATGAGACACTCTGGACCTGCAGCAGCAGCAGCATGGCAGCAGGATGAGGGCGGTACAGGGGCCCATGGCAGATTACGGGCCTGGCAGCAGCAAGCAATGGAGGCCCGTAATCTGCCAGCACCCTATGACAAAATGGAACCCACCAGCAGTGTGAGGAGACCTGAAAGTGGCACATGGCAGAGTGTGGCGATGGAGACAGCAGCAATGGGAGGCCGTACAGGGACCCATGACACACTCTGGACCTGGCAGCAGCATGAGGAGGCGGTACAGGGGCCTGGCCCATACGGGGGCCCATGGCAGATTACGGGCCTGGCAGCAGCAATGGGAGGCCCGTAATCTGCCAGCACCCTATGACAAAATGGAACCCACCAGCAGTGTGAGGAGACCTGAAAGTGGCACATGGCAGAGTGTGGCGATGGAGACAGCAGCAATGGGAGGCCGTACAGGGACCCATGAGACACTCTGGACCTGGCAGCAGCATGAGGAGGCGGTACAGGGGGCCCATGGCAGATTACGGGCCTGGCAGCAGCAATGGGAGGCCCGTAATCTGCCAGCACCCCTATGACAAAATGGAACCCACCAGCAGTGTGAGGAGCCTGAAAGTGGCACATGGCAGAGTGTGGCGATGGAGACAGCAGCAATGGGAGGCCGTACAGGGACCCATGAGACACTCTGGACCTGGCAGCAGCATGAGGAGGCGGTACAGGGGCCCAGCAGATTACGGGAGGCAGCAGCATGAGGAGTCGGTACGGGGGCCCATGGCAGATTACGGGCCTGGCAGCAGCAATGGGAGGCCCGTAATCTGCCAGCACCCTATGACAAAATGGAACCCACCAGCAGTGTGAGGAGACCTGAAAGTGGCACATGGCAGAGACCTGAAAGTGTGGCGATGGAGACAGCAGCAATGGGAGGCCGTACAGGGACCCATGAGACACTCTGGACCTGGCAGCAGCATGAGGAGGCGGTACAGGGGCCCATGGCAGATTACGGGCCTGGCAGCAGCAATGGGAGGCCCGTAATCTGCCAGCACCCTATGACAAAATGGAACCCACCAGCAGTGTGAGGAGAGCCTGAAAGTGGCAATGGCAGAGTGTGGCGATGGAGACAGCAGCATGGGAGGCCGTACAGGTGTGGCGATGGAGACAGCAGCAATGGGAGGCCGTACAGGGACCCATGAGACACTCTGGACCTGGCAGCAGCATGAGGAGGCGGTACAGGGGCCCATGGCAGATTACGGGCCTGGCAGCAGCAATGGGAGGCCCGTAATCTGCCAGCACCCTATGACAAAATGGAACACACCAGCAGTGTGAGGAGACCTGAAAGTGGCACATGGCAGAGTGTGGCGATGGAGACAGCAGCAATGGGAGGCCGTACAGGGACCCATGAGACACTCTGGACCTGGCAGCAGCATGAGGAGGCGGTACAGGGGCCCATGGCAGATTACGGGCCTGGCAGCAGCAATGGGAGGCCCGTAATCTGCCAGCACCCTATGACAAAATGGAACCCACCAGCAGTGTGAGGAGACCTGAAAGTGGCACATGGCAGAGTGTGGCGATGGAGACAGCAGCAATGGGAGGCCGTACAGGGACCCATGACACACTCTGGACCTGGCAGCAGCAAGAGGAGGCGGTACAGGGGCCCATGGCAGAGTGGCGAAGCGTAAGCAGCTTAAATTGAAGGCCATACAGAGGCCTATGTTAAAAATAATAACATGTTTGGGGCATGATTCATGGCGGATTTAGTCAGTTGTGTCAGGAACTGGTGGTTTGAAATCCAGACTAATCCACGCCTGATTCATTTTCACAAACGTGAGTCTCTCCACACTTTGGGTGGACAGTCGTGTCCTCCGCGGAGTTACAATACCTCCTGCCGCACTAAACACGCGCTCCGATGCCACGCTACTGGCCGGGCATGACAGCCTTTCAAGGGCAAATTCAGCTAGTTTGGGGCCAAAGGTCAAGTTTCGTTGCCCAGTAGTCAAGGGGATTGTCTACCTCGGTTGGCAGGGTGCTGTCCAAGTAGGCCCAAGCCTGTTGTTTGAGGTCCTGCTCCAGGTCCACCTGATGCTGCTGCTGCTGCTGCTGCGGCTGGTTAGTAGTTTTTCCTCACTGCGCTGGTGAAGAAAGCTACTCATCATCGACTGCAGACTGAGGCAGCCGCTGCTGGTGGAGCTGCCACTGCTCCTACCACCCCACCCCTCCCCTGCTGCCATGGCAGCGGAACGCGAGCGCACAGGGCCCACAGTGTCTGAGGATGGACGTTGGCGCAGAAAGGCAGAGACCAACTGACTACATAGGTGGTTTTTATAGTACGTTATTTTGGCCTCCCTCTCAGCAGGTGTGAAAAAGGCCACCATTTTTGAACGGTAGCGAGGGTCCAACAAGGTGGACAGCCAAAAGTCATCCCTCTGTCTGATGGTTATTATTCGGCTGTCGCTACGCAAGCAACCGAGCATGCTATGGGCCATTTGTGCCAAAGGAATGCGAGGGACTCCCTGCCTCCATCTCCACAGCATACTGCCACGGTGCGTCTGGGTCCTCTGTCTCCTCCTCCTCCTCCTCTACCAGATGCTCCTGCTCCTCCACTCCTGTCCGCTGAGTGGAAAAAACCACCCATTTCACTCAATAATTCCTGAGCACCAATGTCCTCCTCTACCTCCTCCTCTCTTCTTCCTGTCCTGCCCCCACAGGGGTCATGTGGCGTTGAGATCTGTGCGCCACGTCTACCGCACCCTGACCAGCCATTGTTAACAGCATTTGTTCCAGGACGTGCAACAGAGGAATGACGTCGTTCATCCCATAGTCCTGCCGACTCACGAATAGCGTGGCCTCCTCAAAGGGCCTGAGCAAGCGGCAGGTGTCACGCATGAGCTGCCAATGGCTGACATCTAAGTTACACAGGGGAGTACCTTTATCCGCTTGTAACATCAGGAAATCGGTGATGGCCTTTCGCTGTTCGTAAAGGCGGTCTAACATATGTAGGGTTGAATTCCACCTTGTTGCAACGTCGCAGATCAGGCGATGCTGTGGAATTCCCGTTCTGCCGCTGCAGCTCAAGGAGGGTGTGCTTTGCGGTGTAGGAATGGCTGAAATGCATGCAAAGTTTACGTGACATTTTAAGGATGTCTTGCAGTGGGATGGTGGATTTTAGGAACCGCTTGACAACCAGATTGAACACGTGAGCCATGCATGGCGCATGGCACAACCTTCCTTGACGCAGAGCAGACACCATGTTCTTTCCGTTGTCGGTCAACATGGTTCCGATTTTCAGTTTGCGCGGAGACAGCCATCTGTCGATTTCTCTGTTCATTACACTCAGAAGTTCCTCCCCTGTGTGACTACGTTCGCCAAGGCATACCAGGTGCAGCACAGCGTGACACCGTTGCGCCCTGCACATGTGATATGCCGGTCGGGTAATGGGACTTGGCACGGGGGTGGCGGCTGAGGACACGGCGGAAGAAGAGGTGGTAGAGGCGGACATCTTTGCTGGACCAAGGACGTGCAAACGTGGAGGCAAAAGCGGCGTGACCTGTCCAAGTTGCTGGTGCGGCTGTGCCGGCACCACGTTCACCCAGTGGGCCGTAAATGACATGTACTGTCCCTGACCGTAGTTACAGCTCCACACGTCGGCGCTGCCGTGCACTTTGGCAGAGACCGACATGCTCAAAGACTGGCCCACCATCTCTTCTACATGTGAATGCAGGGCTGGCACTGCCTTTTTGGCGAAGAAATGACGGCTTGGCACTCTCCACCACCGCGGCGCGGCACAAGCCATCATTTCTCGGAAAGGTGCTGAGTCCACCACTTGGAAAGGGAGGACTGCAGCAGCACCAGCAACTTGGACAGGAGGACGTTCAGCTTCTGCACCGTCGGGTGCGTGCTCGCAAACTGTTGTCTCTTGGAAACGGATTCCAAGAAAGACTGCTGACGGAATCCGTGAAGAGGAGTAGCAGGAGAAGGAGCATCTGAACGAGCGGAAGATGCCAACGAGCGACAACTCCCCTCAGCAGAGGTGTTGGAGCCTTGACTGGCTGATATAGAGGGCGATTGACGTCGGGTGACGGAGCAAGTAACGGAGCGGGTGATGGAGCGGGGGCTGGGGCAGGCAGAACCGCCGTATCTTTATCACGGTTTTTCCCAGGCCACCGAATGGCGACGCTGCATATGCTGACGCAACGCTGTAGTCCCAACATGGGCCCCCTGGCCACGCTTGACTTTCTGGCCACATAGTCGACATACGGCTACGTTTACTTCCTCGGGCGGCTTGACGAAAAATTGCCACACCGCCGAGTAGGAAACTTTGCCCCCGCTACTCCTCACTGGCTGACTGCTACTTCCTCCGTGCACACCGGCACCACTACTGGCCGTGGTGGTAGGCTGCAGTGGAGCTGGTGCTCTACTCCGTGGCCGTTTGCCTCCACTGACACTGCTGCGACCCTGCTGCCTCCTGGGCAAACCCACCGACTGTTTTGCTCGCTGCCAAGCTGGCACCCTCTTCTCCTGATGATGCGGAAGCAATAGCCTGATGACGACGAGGCTGCCAAGTGCGATCAGCCTCATCATCATCAATTAGGGTCTCCGCCTCACTACTAGCCCCCTCGGCTGCGTGTGGGTCAGGAGACAGACCTGTCTCTAGACCGGCTACCGAGCCACTCTCCTCGCCAGTACTTCTTCGCCTGGCTGCTGAAGAGGCGGATGTCTCCCCCCGTTCCTGACCCGCCCTCTGTTAGCTCTTCCTCACTGTACAGTGGGGCTGAGCCCACAGCATGCGATACTTCGCTTGGTGAGGGAACACCAAAGGACAGGGGCAGGTAGAGGACACGTGATTTCAGTGGGCTTGCTCCCGGGCCATGCCAACTAACGGTTGTGTCTGACGTACCCACCGACCGTTGGCTGTAGGTGTCAGAGGTGACCTGGGAAGAGGAAGACGACCGAGCCAACCAATCGATGACGGCAGGGTTGTCGGTGGAGACACGACCGCTGGATGACACCGGAGCACTGGCCTCTGGCTGCGACTAGTGCTGCCTCGACCCCTTCCTCTGCTGCCACGTCTGCTCGCTCCTGAAACATTGCCTCCTCTGCCACTCCTCTGCGTGTTGTCTGACATACTCTTTAATTCAACGATTCTGTGTCCCTGAGTAACGATTCTGTGTCCCTGAGTAACAATTCTGTGTCCCCGAGTAACAATTCTGTGTCCCTCAGTAACAATTCTGTGTCCCTCAGTAACAATTCTGTGTCTGTCCCTCAGTAACAATTCTGTGTCCCTCAGTAACAATTCCCTCAGTAACAATTCTGTGTCCCTCAGTAACAATTCTGTGTCCCTGAGTAACAATTCTGTGTCTGTAACCTGTCCCATGAGTAACAATTCTGTGTCCCAATTCTGTGTCCCTGAGTAACAATTCTGTGTCCCTGAGTAACAATTCTGTGTCCCTGAGTAACAATTCTGTGTCCCTGAGTAACAATTCTGTGTCCTCAGTAACAATTCTGTGTCCCTCAGTAACAATTCTGTGTCTGTCCCTGAGTAACAATTCTGTGTCCCTGAGTAACAATTCTGTGTCCCTGAGTAACAATTCTGTGTCCCTGAGTAACAATTCTGTGTCCCTCAGTAACAATTCTGTGTGTAACAATTCTGTCCCTGAGTAACAATTCTGTGTCCCTGAGTAACAATTCTGTGTCCCTGAGTAACAATTCTGTGTCCCTGAGTAACAATTCTGTGTCCCTGAGTAACAATTCTGTGTCCCTGAGTAACAATTCTGTGTCCCTCAGTAACAATTCTGTGTCCCTGAGTAACAATTCTGTGTCCCTGAGTAACAATTCTGTGTCCCTGTAACAATTCTGTGTCCCTGAGTAACAATTCTGTGTCTGTCCCTGAGTAACAATTCTGTGTCCCTCAGTAACAATTCTGTGTCCCTCAGTAACAATTCTGTGTCCCTGAGTAACAATTCTGTGTCCCTGAGTAACAATTCTGTGTCCCTGAGTAACAATTCTGTGTCCCTGAGTAACAATTCTGTGTCCCTGAGTAACAATTCTGTGTCCCTGAGTAACAATTCTGTGTCCCTGAGTAACAATTCTGTGTCCCTCAGTAACAATTCTGTGTCCCTCAGTAACAATTCTGTGTCCCTCAGTAACAATTCTGTTCTGTGTCTGTCCCTGAGTAACAAAACAATTCTGTGTCCCTGAGTAACAGTTCTGTGTCCCTGAGTAACAATTCACTGTGTGTGTCCCTGAGTAACAATTCTGTGTGTCCCTGAGTAACAAGTTCTGTGTCCCTGAGTAACAGTTCTGTGTCCCTGAGTAACAGTTCTGTGTCCCTCAGTAACAATTCTGTGTCCCTGAGTAACAGTTCTGTGTCCCTAACAATTCTGTGTCCCTGTCTGTCCCTGAGTAACAATTCTGTCTGTCCCTCAGTAACAA